CATGAATTAATTCAAGTGTAGCAAATACGAATTTCAATCCACAAGCTCAGGTGTTCAAGAAATATTGCTGTTTTATTGCTTTTTAATCAGCTTAATACGGCACCAAACCTGCATTTTCATCCTAGTCATTATGAGCGCCCCTTCCCAGGTTGCACCAGAACTGAGGGAGTCACATGGAGCACAGGAAAGACAGGAAGAGCCTTGGGTGAACATCCTCACTCTCCAAGCCTAGGGTAGTCCTGTAAGGGCAGCAGCCCCAGTTTCCTTGCCATGGGTGGGCATTATAGGTCTTTTCCTGGACTGGCAGTCCTCAAGCCCAAGCTTTCCCTCTAGGTGACATTTTTCTGAGGTCTTCCCACTTGCTCAGTCATTATCTATCCCAAAGCTATGTATTAATTCCCACTCCCATGAGGACTCACCTCTTTCTTATCAGTTTGGGGAGAATCTTCCACCTTGATATCTCCAGGCGCTCAAAGGTTTTATCTACTGTCTTTCTCCTGACAGGCCATTCCCACCATTAATTATCAAGCTCTTAATCATCAAATCTTTTCCAAGGAAGGAAAGAAAGAAGACATTAAAGAATGAAGAAAGGAGGGAGCTGTTTCTCCCTTCCATCCTACAAATCTGAGCCAAAAAAACACACACAGCGAGCTATATATTCCTCAAACTGAAAAGGAGGGGGAAGAGCAGGAGAAAACAATCAGCTCACATTTCAGTAATTTTCCTGCCATACTACTTTTGCTTCTAGGTCTTAGAAACTAATAAGGAAGTGACGCTAATATTTCACACAAAACAAGATTTAACAAGACTGGATCCTTGAAACTCTGAAGGTAAGCACGCATTAAGAAGCATTATGCAAATACAAACTTCCAGCAGGCCCTGTGGACACAGTACAAAGCTGCCAAATAGACAATGATCCCTCTTCTGGAAAGGAAGCAGGTGAGAGAGGTGATGATGGCTGAAGCCTAGCTCAACCAGAGTAGAAATCTCTAATACACCTGCTTTCTTTCTCCTAGATCCTCTCCTTATCCTTCCACACCTTCAAATGCATCCATTTTTTCCAGGGCTCACCAAAAGGGAAATAGAAACAGCCTTTGGAGAATAAGTAACACTTATGTTTCACTTCTCCAGAAATATTCCTCCTTTAGCTAAAGGAATAGTTTTCGAATACTCATGAAATAATATTTGGGGAAAGCAGGGAGAGAAAGGATGGAGAGAAAAAGAAGGAATGAGCCTGTCAGTGTACTCTCCTGGCTATCCGCAAAACAGCTAGCTACCCCAGCCTCCCTTTTCTAAGTGAAAGGAAAAAAATAAAAAGACGCTAAGAAATTGACCCCAACAGCATCATACAGGATTACAAGCTTAAAAATCACTTCAAAGAAAGGCGAAAGAACTTCCTACATTGTTTTAAAAGCTTCTTTAAAAGAGAATGTCTCCCTACAAGATTCCTGTTTCCCTGTTTAACTTGTTATTGTTAAGACTTCTTTAGGATGTCCTGCAGTGTTTTTGTTTGTTTTTGAAATTAACATTTGTTTACCACTAGATACTATGTTTTGATCTGAGATTGAAAAGTGAATTGGACTTTGGAATTTCAGATTCTTCTGCATATGAGATTTGCTTAGTCTCCCCCCACTTAATTATTATTCAATCATGTGTTTATGTCAGAATTCAGATTTATTTTACATTTTGAGTTATAATCTGGTATTATTTTATTTGGTTGCCCAAACTGTTCCAGTGTTGTAAAATCATCTTTTTTATCAAATATTAATATTTGATTAATAATAATTCTAAAACAGCAATAAAAAGGACAACCCTATAAAGTAGAGATTATCCCCATTTTACAAAAGAGAAACTGAAGCTCAGACATCTTAAGTCATTTTTCAAAGAGAATGATTTGAATCCTCAACTACAGGGCTCCAAGGCAAGTATAAATTTAACACACCATTCCCTCCAATGGCCAACAGAAAAACTGGAGAAAGGCCAATCCCAATGTTTGTATACACTTACATGAAAATGAACCATCTATTAAAACAGATTATTACAAGACAGAAATGTAACATGAGCCACACAGTCACTTAATATTATTCTATCTGGACATACATCAGATCTTACCAATTATTGAAGAGCAAGTAGATGTAGAAAAACACCAAATAAATGCCAACAATGAGTAATAAGACCTTTGGGAAGTAAGCTGAAGCAATACTAATACTGTTCACCCAGGCATTACCAGCTGGCTCCATGTCTCCAAATTTTCAAGCTTGAAAATTTGAATTCTCTCTCATTTTCCCCCACTTCCTCAATCCCATTTTTTAAAAAGTTCCCTTTAAAATCTTTGGATTGCAGAGATGAACTGAACCGAGGAGCAAAGCTCTAAAAAGTAATTTAGGAAAATTTTAAAGTCTGGGGCAAATCTAAACGTCAATAGGCTGAGTAGGAACTGTCCATGGTCCCCTGGTGGAAAAACTCAAGACAGAAGAGGGGTGGAGAGAGGTAGGATGGGTCCAGCCTGCCTTATCCCAGGCCCACAGTGCCCACAGAGCAACCTAAGCAACTCAGGCAAGGAAACTCAGGCTGTCACTTCATCTGAGGTCATACAGCTAATTAGTGACAGAGTGACAGTCTCAAGTCTCTACTTCAAATGGCTGTATTATGGATTAAATACTTCATAGGGCTTATTATGGATTAAGTTTCTGATGCACCCTAATATTTGGCACAATACCTGGCATGTAGTAAGTGCTCAATAAATAATCTTAAAAATAAAGTCCCAATCCAGCCAGGAAAAAATTATCACCTTGCCTCAAAAAAAAGACCTTATTCATTCCTGCTTTGGGTCACAATATAGCTCCACTCCTCAAGTACCCTCCATATTGCCCAACATGCAAAGTCTGAACAGAATCTACCCTCCCTCCTAAGGCCTTAAATGATCATTCTGTCCCTTCCCTCAACTCTACAGATGTACCGTCTTGTTTCTATCACTCAGTGTCACTTAATCCCACACTATTTTTCATTATAACTTAAACTTTCATGTGTATTAGGTCTTTCTTCCATTAGAGTTTAAATTTCAGAACATATTCTTTTCCTTTAGATCACAAATCCTTATTTAGCCCAACATGGTGTGCTCCCAAAATTTTCATTAAAGGAATAAATGATACCCTTCAAACAAATGCGCTTGTGTAGCTTTCAGAGAGCCAAGTAGAATAAATGTCATTCTATTCATATACTGAATAACCAAATGGCAGAATACCTTAAACTTTAAAAATCAAATTAATGGAATTTTGACATTTGCAATCATGCACGAAGCCAATACCATGTACTTTAAAATTTTCCTTGACAGGAATAGTTCCCTTCCTAACAGCAGGTAAGTTCTAGCTGCAAATTCAGCTTCCTGCACAGCTGTTTCCCCTGCCATTTCTAAGCCCATCATGATGCTATATTTTGTTGGGCTTTAATCAAGTAATATTAATTTATTTCTCAAACATTTATAATAAATAATCTTAAAAATAAAGTCCCAATCCAGCCAGGAAAAAATTATCACCTTGCCTCAAAAAAAAGACCTTATTCATTCCTGCTTTGGGTCACAATATAGCTCCACTCCTCAAGTACCCTCCATATTGCCCAACATGCAAAGTCTGAACAGAATCTACCCTCCCTCCTAAGGCCTTAAATGATCATTCTGTCCCTTCCCTCAACTCTACAGATGTACCGTCTTGTTTCTATCACTCAGTGTCACTTAATCCCACACTATTTTTCATTATAACTTAAACTTTCATGTGTATTAGGTCTTTCTTCCATTAGAGTTTAAATTTCAGAACATATTCTTTTCCTTTAGATCACAAATCCTTATTTAGCCCAACATGGTGTGCTCCCAAAATTTTCATTAAAGGAATAAATGATACCCTTCAAACAAATGCGCTTGTGTAGCTTTCAGAGAGCCAAGTAGAATAAATGTCATTCTATTCATATACTGAATAACCAAATGGCAGAATACCTTAAACTTTAAAAATCAAATTAATGGAATTTTGACATTTGCAATCATGCACGAAGCCAATACCATGTACTTTAAAATTTTCCTTGACAGGAATAGTTCCCTTCCTAACAGCAGGTAAGTTCTAGCTGCAAATTCAGCTTCCTGCACAGCTGTTTCCCCTGCCATTTCTAAGCCCATCATGATGCTATATTTTGTTGGGCTTTAATCAAGTAATATTAATTTATTTCTCAAACATTTATGTGCTAAGTAACTCTTGGGGCATCAAAAATAAATTATTCAAGAGATTTCCAATCTATTGTGGCTTGCTACTCACCTACTTCTTGGTGAGCTGTTAATATCTGTGCCTTACATCACAAGAACAAACTCAGGGGAGGACAAGAGATATCTGTGTCCATTGGAGGTCTAACTTTAGGCGAAGGTATTAACTGTTACTCTGCACAGCAATAGACTGAAATTAAGGTTTTGTGCCTAAGTCAATCTAGGTAAATTCTTACTAAATGATTTGCTGGCCATACAGAATTTGACAAGTGTTAGCTAGTAGTAGTAGTAGTAGTATTCATATTAATTAGTATTATTTAGATCTTAAATCACAATATTCAATGTAATGTCAAAAATAACTCACCCCCAGCTATGTGTATTAATAACATTTGAAGCCTAGAAAAGGGTAGAGGTAAAAAGTACAATCAGATGAGCTTGGTGCAGTTGTCCATAACTAGGAACTTATCAATTAATTGGTCTTTCATGATCCAGAGTTAATTAGGAATGCAGAAATTAAAGTGCAATAAAATTATTATGTAAATATATTCCTGATGTACCTATCCAGCATGTGTTTTCACTTTTATCACAAACAGCAGAAAGAAGGCAAGAATGCTCCAATGGGATACATTTAATGAATATGTAGAGCCCTACACACTTATGATATTAGAAACATAAAAATGAAGAAATGTATTTAAGTTATTTAGCTCAAAAGCTTAGAGATTTTTACAAGGATACACAAATGATCCAGACGATAAATTGTGTATTTTGTGTATTTTATGGTAAATTTTGAAAGAGTACACAAAACAATGCAATTATTTTCAAAATCTCTAAAATGTTCAGTTAGCAACAATCATGCAATCATGCTGATACCTACAAAGGTTTTTGTAACTTCAATGTAAATGAAGTTTATGCAAAAGCATTAGCAGTCCATCACAAGAAGAGCTAATTTTTAAGCAAAATAGGATTGATTAGGAAGATTGACTTGCTTACCAGTTTAAAAGGAAAAAAATTTATAATCCAGGTACACATTCAAGATTTCCTCGGCCTTAAAAGGAAACCCTACTCTAGATGTACAGCTAAGTGGAAGTTTCTGTTTGAGGAAAAGTATAAAGGGCTGAAGATGGAGAGATATGAAATACGAAGTCATAATATGAAAATAGCAATTGAAAGTTGTGTCTATTTAATAGTGAGTCTAATAGTGAGATGATTGGTGTAGATCCTAGGCACTACAGGTATCTGCCTGAAGGGGATCAGAGCTGGAGTAAGGACCTGGGAAGGCTTCCTTAAAGAGGCAGGGTATGAGATGTGTCCTTTAGGACTACAGACAGGCAGGAATAAGCAAAGATACTGTATACTTCAGGGAAAGGAGACAAAAGACAAGATTTTGAGGGACAATGAGCACATAGGGAATTAATCAGTAAAGTCTCTTTGTGTGGCTGAATTTATTCATCTATTTTCCCCTTGAGTCATTTCTAGTGGTTGTAATGAGGTCCATGGAATTCTGGTAGAGCTAGCAGTGTCTTGCAGTTTCCTCTCTGGCTCAGCCTCCACACCAACCTGGAGAACAAAATAAACAAAGAGAGAAAAGCAAGGCCATAAAGTGAAACTATGTATGCTACACCTGCCATATCTTAAAACTTAGGTGTTGCTCATTGCTTTGATTGGTATACTTACACATTTATGTAACTTAAACAATTTTTAATTTCATTGCCCAAGTGACCTCAGCAGTATGATACACCTAAACAGCAAAGCAAATAAGTCGGTGAGGGTGAAAAGAGGGACATTTTTTGTGTTTAGATTGTCTGTGACTAAGCTGTGGCTTCAGTGTCCTTGTATCCTGTCTGGTGATCACTTCCCCGCCCCTCCAGGCAGCCAGTTCTGGGAGTTCTCCTTGGTTACTCCTGGATCACAAGCCCTGTTGGACTCTAGTTCATCTCTTTATATTTCTATACCCTCAACTGGACTGTAAGTTCCTCAGGACAGGGACCCTGTTAAGGCTCCAGTTCTACAGTCAAACTGCCCAAGTTTGAACCCTTGTCACTACTATTCCCTAGCAGTGTGACCTCAGGTAAATCATTTAACCTTTCTGGACCTCACTTTCTGATTAACAATGGAGATTATGAGCCTATGAGATAACACATGAAAGCAAAGAGTTCACCACAGTGAGCATTTAAATTATGTTAGTGATCTGATTCCTTCAGAGCCTACATGATGCCTGCATACAGTGTGTACTCAGGAACACTTGCAGAATGATGAATTTCAGGGGCAGGGCGGGCGAGGGAGGCAGAACTTGAATTCTTCTTTTAATCTTTCCCGGTACTTAGCCCAGTGATTGCTAAATAGATTTATATTTATAGAAAGGCTATAAGGCAAAGACTCTACCTAAAATGAGGAGACAAAGTCATTAGGGTGGCATTCCAGATCCCTTTGAGAGATTTTTTTGGCCCAAGCTCTTATCTTCAAATCATCCTATTCGGGCATTTCTTTAGTTACCTACTTAATTCATCCATATGTGATATAAACAAACTTCACTTCCTACAAAGAAGGAATGCGAAGGAATCCATCTACTACTCCTAAAATACTGATTTTCTACAATATGTACAATGCTGCCAAGATATTTTTCCTGAATCATTCTTTAACAACAATTCACAGAAGCATGGAATTTTGAAGCTAGTTTGTGAAACACACCCAAGAATCAGCAATTGGCAGGTGTAAACCTGTCCAGAATTTTATGGGTGGAGTATAGGTGGTGTGAATAATTATTTGGATTAATATCAGTGTTACTAAAAAATGTATTCCCTGCAAGACTGCACTGGCTTTCTGTCAAATATACAGACTGTATCTCACCTAAGCGTTCTTGTATATTGAAAAGAACCTCCATAAACATAAGGATGAGACTTTAATTCCAAAGTGTAAAATACCAAATAGAACACTGGCATAAAAGTCAAAAAGAATATCAGGATTCTTGTTCTAGTTTCACTTCCTTGTAAGCCATAGGCCAGGGACAAGTCATTTAATGTCCCTGAAATGCAGCAATAACACCTGATTTGCCTATACTGGTGGAATGCTGTGCTCACTTACTCATTCAACAAACATTTACTGGGCATCTGCCATGGACCAGACTATAAGTAAAGCACTAGAGTAAAAAAAGACACTTGACGCAATCTCCACAGAAGTATATTAATATAAACTGCAAAATGTTGCAGAATAGATGCTATTATTACATTATTATGAGCATTGTTGCATTTATTATTTAAGGATAACAAAAATAAAAATCTTTCAGCCTATGTTCATGGACTGTGTCCTAGCCTACTCCACCAGAAGGTATTCATTTTATCCCTACTTCATCTGTATTTAGATTTCACCTCCCCAAAAAGGCCTTCTTTTATCATCCTAACTTAGATACTCCTCCCCTCATTGTTATTTTTTTAAACCATGGCACTTATTTCCTTCATAGTAAATATTATAATTACATGTGCTTATCTTCTTGTTTATTATTTATTTATGCCACTAAACATACATTCCGTGTGGTCAGGGATTTTGTTCTTGTTTTCGTATTCCCAACACTACCTAGTACAGTGCTTGGAGCATGTTAGGCACTCAATAAATATCTGTTCCATAAAAGAACGAATGGAAAAACATTACATCATAAAGAGTCATCCCAGCTGAAGAGAAACAAATGTGATAGCTTAGAAGTACTGAGACTGAGTCAATCGATGAAGTTTTAGACTCGAATTCTTGGTTAGTGTTAGTCTGCATTTGTTGTTTATTCAGAGGTACAAGAAAGTAAGTAATTCACCATACATTTATTACTTTGTTAATTCCTATAAAATCAACAAAGATTATAAAAACAATCTTATAACAATACCTAAATAGTTAGGTGTTGTTAATTTCATTTTATACATAAGTAAACTGAGGCTTAGAGAGGTCACTAGCTCAGGTGGTAATTGGCAGAGCCTTTTCTTTTTTAACCATTTCAACCCTGCAGACTGATAAATAGGATGGGAGGAGAGAAAACAGAAAAGAAATCAAGGCACAATAGTTCTCTCAGAGTAGGGGGATGATTGTTGACAGCACATAGTAAAAATTCATCTCCCCAGAGATCTGAAAGCCCTGAGACAGTGTCTTCATTCCACGTGTAAAGAAACCCAGGCTTGCTTAGGACAAGTAATTTGCCCAAAATACTTCCACTCTGGGTTCCTCTGTAGATCAGCAGTGATTCCCGAGTCCAGATAATACCCCTCTCTCTAGCTTGCTTTCTCTGCTTTTTTCCTTTGGTCTTTTCCTTTCTCTGTAAAGAAGCTGTTTGAAACACCAAGCAAGACAACATGGATGGCGCCAGAGGGTATTATGCTCAGTGAAATGAGCCAGGCGCAGAAAGACAAGTACCAAATGATTTCCCCCATTTGTGGAGTATAACAATGAAGAAAAACTGAAGGAACAAAACAGCAGCAGACTCACAGACTCCAAGAAGGGACTAGAGGTTACCAAAGGGGAGGGGTGGGAGAGGGTGGGTAGGGAGGGAAGGAGAAGGGGATTGAGGAGCATTATGATTGGCACACATGGTGTTGTGGGGGGGAGTCAATAGCAAGACTGTAGCACAGAGAAGACAAGTAGCGACTCTGTGGCATCTTATTACACTGATGGACAGTGACTGCAGTGGGGTGTGGTGGGGGACTCGATAATATGGGTAAATGTAGTAAGTACAATGTTTTTCATATGAAACCTTTATAAGAGTGTTTATCAATGATATCTTAATAAATCTAAAAGTAAAAAACCAAGCAAGAAAACACAATGTCACTGCATTCACAGAAATAGGATTTGGTCTTCAATACAGCAAGCACTGGGTGGTCAACCATCAGGGTTTCATGCATGTGTTAAACCTTCTCTCTTAGAGACTAGAGCTTTGGCCCAGAAGTCTGCAGGAATTAATTTGTTACAGAATTTCATGTAGAACCACAGCTATCTCCTTTGGTAAAGCAGAAACTTCAGAATAAGGCAGTTTGCAAAAACTTCTCTGGTGGTGTATGAGCGCCATCTGATGCCCAGAGGCAGAGTGGCTTCAGTTGCAGATTCCTGATTTGAGGCTCAACATCCTAATTCCAAAATGCTATCAAAATACAGAGCCAACCAGTCAGACTCCAAAGATTTCCCTGTCGGTAATGTTTAGCCAATAGTATTTATTATAACTGCTAAAATCCTAGTCTTAATTTGATGTTCGTATTTTTCTTCATATGAATTTCATTTTATTCTTGTGGCCTAGAGTTTTATCAAAGCATAGCTCATATATTTTACATTTATCTTATATCACCTCTAATTTCATTCATTCAGCTAATGCCTGCTGAGCACCTACATATGTGACAACCCATTCTTGGTACCGTAGAGGGAACAAAATGAGTAAGGAGAAAAAAAATGAAAAAAACCCTGCTCCCAAGGAGTTTCCACTCTTGCAGTGGAGATAAACATCTTGATAACTTAGGGGGACAAAGTCAACATTACAGATGTTATAAGAAGAGACTGAAGGGGCTTGGAAGAATACCAAGAAAAAGACCCACTCTACTATGGCTGAGAGGATGGAGGAGATTATATGACTGTGGGTATGAGATCACTCGGGGCAACAACTGCCCTGGTCGTGGGGCAGCATTCCTCTCTTTGAGACTATGGGCTCAGCAAGGGAAGGCTTATGGTAGGTATAGATCAGCCTGCTATACTGACACTTGGGGGAAAGTCAATAAACACAGAGAGAAGGGCAAGGCAAAAGAATGCAACTCAGGCACAGTGACAGGATAAAACACCAGGTGCTGATGCAAACCTAATATGAGTTACAGCTCTAGGCTCCTCACCAGCACATTCACCCCCAAAAGTTGGCTGTGAGACCATCAAACTCAGGTTTTAAATTTAGTAGTGCCTCCCTGGGGAAGAATAAGGGCCCCAAACTTCTGCACTGACCATGAACTTAATCAAAGGTGCCTTCTTTCCATTGCTTTCTGGCTAGTTCACTAGTGGTCTTTTAACTGAGTACAATTTTGTGTGGGCACAGAGAGGCTTTTGGGGGACACATAGGCATGGGTTAGATCCTCAGTTTACATGTCTTTTCCTAAAAGTGGTGGCCCTAAGCAGATGTGGGCTAAGCCACCTACCACCTACTCTTTCACACCCTTTCCTTCCTCACAAAGAAAAGACACAGCCTTCACGGAATCTTACTCTGGAGCATTGCCCCAGGTTGGAAAAACCTCCAGGTCACTAAAACTATATAGATGATTTGAGAAAGTATTCCCCCTAAGGGGGAATCCTGTGAGGGCAAAGCAGAGCAAGTAAGTAGAAGTACTGAAGTAGGTAAAGTCTTATTCATCCAAGTGACATACTCCAGGCCGTCTCCAAGACTTTGTTTCTATTCCTTGTGCTCTTTCTCTCTTTCCCTCCACTTTAGGATGAGAATTTAGAAGAGGGATGGCTATCACAGAAATGCATCTGAATGGAATTGAAAAAGATGAAGAAAGCCACTTTTTGTCAGAAGGAAAGTCTGATTTGTCTATTTAGGTTGACAATGAAAAATG